AAATGATAATATATTATTTTAATTGAATAATAATAATTATTTAAAAATAAAGATAATAAATTGTTTAATTAAAATAATAATAAATTAAATAATCTGAATCTAAATCTAGATTTGATATATTAAATTTAAATTTGAATTTGAATTTAATAGATTAGATTAAATCTAAATTTAAATTTAATAGATTAAATCAATCTAAAAATTAATCTAATCTGAATCTTATTTATTAGATTTAAATTAAATTCAAATCAATCTAGATTTATGCAAAATACTACTTTTGTTATTTAATATTTAATTAATTATATTAGCTATTTTATATTAAAAAAATGTTATATTATTTTATATAAATAATAAACTTAAAAGCTAGTTATTTAAAAATTTATCATAAGAAATATAAATTTTTATTTATTTCAAAATATATAAAATATCAATTTAGTTTATTTTTTTAGTAATTACTTTAAATATATTAATTTTAATAATATATATATAAAAAATATTTTTTTAATATTTTTTTAATTAATTTTATTAGAAGATATTTTAAAATTTATTAAAAAATTTTTAAAATTTTATGCTTAAAAGTTTTTATAATTTATATATTTATATACTAATTGAATTACTAAAATTTATAAAATTTCTTATAGTAATAAATTATGAATTATAATAATAATTAAATTTTATAATCAAATAAATATGTAATCTTAATAGTTAAATATGATATTAAGTGATAAATCTTTTTAAGTTATAGTAATTTAATTACTAAGTATTACTTTAATTTTATTAATAGTTAATTACAAATAAAATAATTTATAAAAATAGTAAGAGATTAATTAATTCAGTTTAAAAATATATTTATTAATAAGAAAATAAAAATATTTAATAATAAAATATTAAAATAAGATAAAGAAAATAAGAAAATAAATTAATTGAAAAACTAAAAATTTATTATAAGCAAATTATTCTATTAAAAAAATTGAAAATAAAATTATATAAATAAATATAATAGACATATTTTATATATCTAATTTTATTTAATATATCTAAAATATTATATATTTATTATATAAATTACATTAATTATATTAAAAATATTAAATATATCAAATATATCAGATTTATGATTGATTTTCTATATATTCTTATCCCTTAAGATCAAATATATTTGGTATGATTATAAAAAAATTATATAATATGATTATAAAAGAGGATAAAATATATTTATAAGAGAAATGTAACTAAATAGAAGGTAATTATATAGAAAGTTAACTGTATTATAATATATTGATCTATTTATAATTAAAGATAGTATTACAACTAGTTGCAAATATGTAATATTTATTTATTACTAGTTACAACTAGTTATAACTCAATTTTTATTAATATTATAATTAGTTACAATTATATAATGCTTATTAATTACTGGTTGTAACTAATTACAACATCATCTTTATTTATAATATTATATTATTAATTTTAATAAAATCATTAAAGATTAATAATAAAATTTTTAATATAAATACAAATTTTTATTTTATAATTAAATTTAAATTTTTTATTATATGAATAAAAGAAAAATTATTATAATATAATATTATAAATAAATTTTTTAAACCTTAATTTTATAAAAGCAAATTAGATAAGAATTTGAGAATTTATAATAAATAATTAAGTAATTCTGTTTGTATTTTATATAATTAAAATAAAATTATATTTAAATTATAATAATTAAATATTTAATTAAAACTTATATAAATAAAAATTTTTCAAAAAAATATATATTTAATAAACATTTTTTTTTTAATTATAAAATAATTTTTTAATCTTAAATTTTAGTATAATGAGAAGTATAAATTAACATTATAGATTAAAATTTAAAATTATTCAATTTTAATATTAAAAGTATTTTTATAAATTAAAAATAAAAATAATATTTATAAATAATATTTATATTGAGTTATAAATAATTTATATATAAATAATTAATTAATATTTTTTTAAAAGAATTTATATAAATATATTAAATAAATAAAAAAAAATAAATAGTCATAATTATTTAAATAATTTATAATATTATAATATAAATAACTATAATTTTATAGATAAAAATAATTAATAATTTACTTTTATTTAAAATAATATTAAATATTTTTAAAATTTATTTATTATAAAATATAAACAGTAAATCTTTTATTATAAATTTAATTTGATAATATTAAACATTTTATAAAAATATAATAAATAATATATTTTATAGAATATTATATTATCTTAACAGTTTAGTATTATAATATAAATAAAATTATACTAATTATGATATTATAAATAATAATTAATTAAATTTAAAATAATATTTATAATTTAAAAATTTTATATTTAAATTTTAAATATATTGTTATCTAATTTATGGTTAAGTGAATTAAATATTTAATCAGTTAAATTAAAATTAGATTTAACTTAATAATTTTATTAATTTGTAAAAGTTTTAATTGAATATTATTTTAGTTAAATTTTTATTTAATTTTTTTCTAATATATACAGTCTCTAGCGAAAAGAATAGCAATAGAAGACTGCATTTATTTTAGGCTGCAATTTCACTACTTTCTGTATATAGGTATTTGTTTATATGCCCAAATTAGACATTAAAACCTGAATTAAAAAGATAAGTTAAAAAAATAAGGTTTGTTATTTGTTTTTAACTTTGATTTTCTTTCTGAAACTATGTCAAGCTCTTTAGAAATATAAAGAAATTCTGTTAAGTTACTTTAAGACCAAAAAGTGTGTAATACAAAGGAAATTTCTAATTAATTGTGTATTTCTTTGCACATATATAAATGATATGTCAGTTTATTAAATAAAACTGGTTAAATTTCTATTAGTCACTCTTCTGGTCATCCAAAAAAAATTGGCTTTAAATCAATACTGTCATATTGGAAAAATTCTGCAATATAATCATTTTATTACAATAGGCGAACTTAAGGCAAAATTGGAAAAAAAAGATCCTAACCTTGATATCAGTAAATGTATAATATGTCATAAACTTAATAATCTTGGATATGTTTCTGTTCTTTCAAGAAAGGTTCCTCTTTTGACCTAAAAAGTAAAGGATTTTTATTTGTCTTAGATATGTGATCATTTGCGATACAACTGAAAAAAGTTATTTTTTCTGATAAAACAATACTTCAGATGTTTAGAAATATCATGTGTGCATAGTCTCATAATGCACAGCCAATTGCCTCTATAGTAAAGCACTTATTCAAGATTCATATTTGGGTAGCGATTAGTGCTAAAGAAAAAATCAGCATTCATTTGTTACTAAAAATTTAGATCATCATTTGTATTAAAAATCTTGGATGACCATTTGTATAACAACGCAGATATATTATACAGATGTGATTAAGTCTTTCAACAAGATAATAACCTAAAACACATTTCATACAATGTTTAGGAGGACTTGAAAAAATATTTTTCAGGATGAATTCTTTCTTGACCTTTATATAACCCAGACTTGAACCCTATTAAAAATGTATAGGCTTTATTAAAGAGAAAGATAGAGAAAAAGATTAAGTATTTAGTAGCAAAAAAAATATTACTTGTGATGTATTCCTTAATACAATCTGGTAGAAATGGAATGATTTTGATGACGCTATGTTACTTCAATGCATCAAGAGCATGTCAAGCTAGGTTAAAGTATGTATCAATGCAGAAGAAGGACACATCAAATATTAATTAATAATATAAAAGTTGTCATTAGTATTGGTCTTATAATAATAAAAAAAATATACATTAAAATAAAGTTTGTACATACTATTAAAATATTTTCACCATTCTTTTCGCCAGGGACTGTATTTACAAATTAAATTTTAAATCAAAAAATATAAGAATTTTATATCTAAATACTTGTAAATTTGAAGACTTTTAACTAATTGATTAATAAAAATTAATATATCAAGATAAAATATAACTTAAAAATAAATATATATAAAAGTAAAATGCATTCTTAAAGTAAGAATGTTAACTGATTCTTAACTGATCCTTATGATTTAAAAGATTACTAACTTTAAAGAAGCCTAATTACTTTTATAAAGAAACATTTATCTCATTATTTTTAAAGCTTTTTAAAGCCAAATACTTAAACCTTTTCTATTGTAAAATCTTACTTTAATTTTTTTTATTTTTAGATGCAAGTTTGAATACCATTAGCCAAAAATATATATCTATATATCTATACTATATAATAAAAAAATTGCCGTGTAACTGGATATTTATATTACCATGTATAAAAATAATTTCATCCCCCCATAAGCCAATAAAATCACATGATTAGATTTATCTAAACCATTAACGCCAATCCCAACTAGTATCAAATAAAAAAAAATTCAATGCTTCATTATTAAAATTTATATGAAAATTCCTTTAACATCTATCGTAAAAAATACATGTATTACTTAAAGAAGAACTCGAAAAATTAATATAAATTCAATTTAATCCATACTTAAAAAATTCGGTGTATTTACTACGGAATACAAAGTTCGGTATATTATAGAATCAAATTACTGATTGAACTAATGCAAGCCTAAATTCTTACATTAACCAACTTATCAGAAAAGAATCAAACAATTATTTTTTGCAATTGTGATAGCGATTTATCCTACTATAATAATAACTGAACAAAGATCATAACAATAATCGTAATAATGATGCAATAAAAAAAAAAAGATTTCAATTTTGGCAAATATTTATCTTTAAATAGAAAATATGTGGAAACATCCCTTCTCAAGATTTTATTACATTGATAATGCAATGTTCGTTATTGTATCGTTTTTTTTCATAAGGTAATCTATATTTAGTATATTTTTTAGTTTGTTAATGGGATCATGTGGCATTATTTTTTTGTTATAAATAATTGTTTTACAATAATAGCATTATTAAAAATTTATTTATATAAAAACACGTTTTGACTTCGCTATACAAAATTACAAATTTCTCGCCTTTTACTTGCTTTCAATATGGCAAGATTAACTTCAGTACCAGTCAATGAAAATAACAATTCATCAACACATCTTAACGCACGTTTAAATTTTACTCACATCGAGTCCAATCCTTTGTTAAAATCTCTTTACGATCAAGTAGATGCGATGTTGCAACAATCATCGGGTCAAGATATAACAAAATTATTTTATGTGGTCTTTTCAGCTATCGACAAGAATTTTTCAAATCCAACTTCACCACTTTCAATGAATTCGGATGCAAATAATTTGAGACAATTATTTAATACTCAAAACGATAGAATAAGTCTCACTTTAACTTTACGAAGGTTAACGCAACAATCTACGCCACAATCCGTTTCATCTGAAGAATCATTGACTTCTAATTTACCTCCTCCTCCTGAAACTTGGTCCGATACGGATATGACTTCTTTGATCGATCAAGTAATCAAAGACGAAGAGTTGATAGGAAATTTCTCTAGTGCTTATGGGTCCTATCGATAATTATTATGCATAAAATTTAGAGTTATATATGAACTACATATATAGCTATAGGTTACATGAAAATCTTTCGTTTAAAATAACTGTTTACTTGAATCATTAATAAAGATATTTTTTGTTAATAAAATTTATGCAAAACCTTATAGATTGCCCATTTCAAATCGTGTTTTATACAGTTATTGAATTTGAAATTCTATTTTTAGAATGATTCAAAAAAAAAATTTCTGAACCTTTTGGGAAAAAAAAAAAAAAAAGGCGAGCTTAACATACGTCATACATCAAATGACGCATTTCACGTGATAAACCTAAGTTCCCACAACCTAGTTTTGGTAAATGTTCTTTATTACTTTGTCTGTAAGGTGCAGGTTGCAAGTTGCGTATCCTGTTTCCGTAATAAGATAAATTGCAGCATTTTTTTTGTTAATGAATTGTTCCTTTTTTTTTTTTTTTTTTTTTTTTTTTCTATTTTCCCTTTTTCAAAAAAAAAAAAATTTATTTTTTTTCCATTTCTATTTTTTTTTTCCTTTATTATTATTAAAGGATAATTTAACTAAATATGAATAATCTCAATAATCAACGAGATAAAGTTGTGCTTCCAGGAAATTTGTCGGTTGAATGTTTTGAACAAGTATTGATTCATTTTAAAAATGATCCCGCAACTCTTTTTCAATGCTTATTTGTCAATAGACTTTGGTGTCGTCTTTCAATACCTTTATTATGGAGTCACCCTTTTGAATATCATGGATTTGGTGAATTGGCGGCAAATATAGTTCAAATTTATATCGCATGTTTGCCAGAAGATGAAAGACAAATTTTGATTGATGAAGGATTAGAACTTCCTGAATCTATATCGCCACTTTTTGATTATCCGAAATATTTACAAAGTTTTGAATCTGCTCATTTCACGGGTGCTATTATGTCATGGCTTTCCACCAGGGTTAAATCGTGGTCAAGTTACCTCGAAGGACGAGATTTAGATATTTATCCATATACCAACTTTGTTCAAACGATTCTTGGAAACCTTTTATTTAGTCGTAGCAAAGGGATAAGGGATTTAGACATCGTGCACTTTGATGAAGATGACGATTCGCTTATCGCGGACATTATATCATTTGACGAAGCGAATCGAGCTTTATCTAAGCTTGAAAAATTTCAGTTTGATTATTCGGGATGGTCTGAACAAGAAGATAAATCGTCCGAAATCATTTCAAATCTTTTTGATTTTATGACCAATTGCTCTCGTAACATTCAACATATTTATATTAATATCACAAATATCTCTGAACAAGATTTGAAACTTCAACAAATTGCGAAAAGTATCTCGAAATTAATTCAAACGCAACACAATTTACGTGATCTCGTAATGTTAGAATTCTGGAATCCTACAGCTTCAGCTACAATTTTTAAAGCGTTACCAGTTCAAGCACATTCTTTAACATATCTAAGACTTCATGACCTGTATCAGTATCAATTTCGTCTTTTATTACCAATCCTACCAATTTTAAGAAAATTAGAAACCTTACAAATTATTAGTATTCACCCGGGTGATGAAGAACCCATCAAGAATGTAGAACTACCAGAACCTATTCACCTTAAGCATTTACATTATCAAGAAGACAAATACCGGGTGGATGTATCAGCGCTTATAGGAGCAATCCTAGAGATGGCAAATGTAAACCTGGAGACGTTATCATGTGTTCATGTCACATCTGAACTCGTCGAGATTATTGGACAAAAATGTCCTAATCTAACACATTTATCTTTATCGTTAGCAACACCAGAAATCCCTGTTTCAGTGTCTGGTTTATTAACGTCAACACTTTATCTTCGACATTTTTCCATTTACATAAATTCAGCAGAATTTCCTTTTGCTACAACTGAGAATTTACATCAATTCGCAAAATCATTTCCAAAATCTCTTTTATACTTTGGGTTTTATATGTCAATTACTCCATATATTTTGGATTTCTTTTTAAAAGCATGTCCAGCCTCATTTCAGATTTTAGCCGTATATAGACCAGAAATTATAGATGAAAATTTATTAAAGGTTCTGATAAATTATGCCAATGAGAGAAAATCTTTAAAAAAATTATTATTGGAAGATTTTTATTCATATGAGGGAAGGGTCATAACTGCTGCTTTAAAAGAAGCAAAAACCGTTATACCCATTATTCAACATACAATTAGTTGTGATGAACCATACTCTGGGTAAGTGGATGCGACTCTTATTATTATATTGATACCGAAAAATTTTCTTTAACATTTATTTTATTTTACCTATTTGTTTATAGGCCTGTAATGGATAATCCAAGAGATTTAGATGATGTGTGGGATAAAGTGTGATATAAAAAGTCCATAACGAATTACCTTTTAGAAATTTCGTTTAGAAATATATATATAAAGTATATTCCTCTTTCTTTTTTTTTTTTTTTTTTTTTTTTTTTTTTACTTATAAATATTTGCATTATTGTAAGGGTTAATATTCTTTATTCTTCTCCTTTAAAGAGCAAAAGAATTCACTTTATTATTGGAAAATAATCAAGAATATTATAGATTCCTTATTTGTAAAAAGTCACTTTTTTTTTAAATATAAAATATAAATATGTATATGTATATGTATCAAACCACATTTCTAGATTCAAACAAAAATAGTATTTTCATTCTTTTTTTTTTTTTTTTTGTTAAGGCATATTGTGTCTGAAATTGGGAATTTCCAATTTCAGTTAATTGAATTTGATCGAGATGTAAAATGTATATTTCGCTAAACCAATCACGAATTTTTTTCTCGTTATCAACATTTTCAAACCTAACTTCTTTTGTCCATTCTCCAATTTTTCATTTATCTTCACGCACAGGAATTTCAAAATACTTTTAGTACATTTTTTGATACTTAAACCAATTAGGTTTGGAAAGAATAATTATTGCGTATTTAAAGTATGTGTATAAAATAGGAAAGTTGATATTTGTTTTTAAATTCAAAAAAAAAAGTTTGTACAACGTCCGCGAGCCTATTCTAATTTAATCTAGGGTAGGCTAGTCTGGGACGGTAAGGTTGATTTTGATTTATTTTTGTTTTCTTAACTAGATAGAAATTTTTTGTACTCTCCGATTTGTAATTTGTAATTTTGTAAAATTTTACTTTACTATTAATAGCACGTAAAAAAAAAGTTTGTACAACGTCCGAACCAGAATATGATTGATTGGACGATATGTAAATTTTTTTTTTTTACCTTGTTTTCAGTAGACCAAATATTAAAGAAGCCGAATATGCTTTTTTAACTTGTGAAGTTACTTCAATCAATATAGAATTTATCATGTGAATCATATTTATTATAACAATATCGCCTTTTCCTTTCTCCGAAATTCTCTGTAATTTTTTTTAAAAAAAAAAAAAAAAAAATTCCGAGATTTTCGAACGATTATATTCGTAAAACTTACTTGATATAATTGTTCTTGATTGTCAGTTTCCGAAGAAAATGCCGGGTTATTCTCGCGATCCATGGTCATAAACGGGATTTTTTAGAAAGTTGACATGAAAAATCATAGAGTAATTGACCTTTAACAATGCAAAATCGTTCATTAAAGTTCAAAATGAGTTCAACAAACTGAATCGGTTAAATCATATTTTCCCATTTTAAATTCATCCCGGGTTCTAAACAAAGTTTTACGGATTAACTTCCTTGTAAATTTTTAAAATGATTATTACCACCTATATTTATTTAGATCTGTTTATTTATTTTTGATTTAACGTGTACATCTTTGACTTTTTCGTAAAGTCAGAAGGTGTTAACGTTCGTATAAGGGTTTCATGGCTTGGCTATTATGGTTATTACATAATATCGATCTTTATTTAGTCTCCGAGTCTCCGGCTAATCATAATAGAATTTTCTATTCTAGGTTATAAATATTTATTTATTAATAATTATAAAAATTGCCAGATGCAGATTAATTAACCGCAAGTGGAAGCCTCATAATAATCATCGTGAAAACTCTTTGGAGTTTGCATCCAACATATTTATGTTACGTAAATAATGAAACTTTCATAATAAAATTCGACAATTACTACATCATCGACGCGAAATTATTTTGCAATGACATCACCGGTTTTTTTAAAATCACCTAAACTTTTTTTTTGTTGTAACAATGACATACATCATGCTAACTTCAAAATAAAGTTTTTCACATGTTTATGTTAATTTTTTATTATAAGGGAAATCTCTTACTTTTCAAAGAGCTCTTTATCGCGTCGCACAGGATTAACCAAAGTTGGTGTATGGTTTTCGAATTTCCGAGACGCCATATGTTTTACTTACGAAGCACAGGTACATATGAATAAAAAAAGAATTTTTTGTTCGAATGATCGTCAGTAGATTTGGCCAAATATGTATCGGATAAGAGAATTCGTTGTTTAGACAATGTCCGAACTTTAATCAACATGCAATAATTAATAATTTAGGCGTAAAGTTCTCACTAGTTAGATCATCTTATTACACTAGTTATTTAAAAAATTAACATAATAGATTTTTTAAGTTAAAACAAAAGGATTTCCTCTTAACATTTTTTTTTTTTTTTTGCTTCAATCATTATACGTTGATTGCGTATCATCAAAGTAATCAGGTTCGTGCTTTGAGGATTATTGGTTCATGAATTAAAAGATCTATGATCTAGCTGATTAGGTATTTGATAAGACGATAAATGATCCGCAGTCATCCAATGATGAGTTGTGTTTTTCGATATTTATTACACAATTCTTTACAAAGAAAACCACGCGACCCCCTATCGTATAAATAAAAGGTTATTTATCCAATGAAATATTATTTACGTTTCCAAAGACGAAAATTCGTGAAACAAAAGTGAAACACGCTTTTGTTTTCCTTCATCACGTGGTCTGTTGACGAAATGATTTACCAATACGCCGTTACCGAAAATCATCTGTATTATTAATTGTTGCCATGCCACTTTTAGTACCGTTATTTAAGGGGGCGTGTTCCAGTTAAAAAAAAGTTGACAAATTAAAAAATATTATAAATATATTCAAACTCCGATGGATATTTTTTCTCCGAAAGAAAAAAAAAAAAAATAAATAAATAAATTAAAAATAAAAATTTCAATATGTGGATATCTGCTAAATTATTATATGTTATTCCTTTATTATTCCTGTTATCTTTATTCGGATCTCCTCTCTTTGACTCGGAAACTATCCCGATACCGATACCCCCTAAACTTCATGGAAAGTTTCTTCATATAACGGATTTTCATCCGGATCCCCATTACGTTTCTAATGTTACCGCAAAATCTAGGTGTCATGAACACTTTAAAAGTGCAAAAAAACCTAGGCATATGAAACGGGGTATATCTGGTCCTTGGGGAGCTCCTGCGACCGTTTGTGATTCTCCTATGAATCTGATAGAAGCAACGTTTGAATGGTTGGAAAACAATTGGAAGAATAAGCTTGATTTTATTATATGGACCGGAGATAACGCAAGGTATGAATGTGTTTAAATGCTTGTACGCTCATCATCATATCAAAGATCATGATTTTAAAATACTTGCGTAAATTTTAGGCATGATAACGATGATATGATACCCCGAACCCCCGAGGAAATGTTTCAATTAAATCGTATGATAACCGAAAAATTTTTAAAAACTTTTGGCGACACTCAACTTCGTGGAAGAAAGAAAGCACCACATTTCATCCCTATCGTACCCTCTAT